TAACTGTCAAAGCAGTTTTATAATACTCGCCCTAAATCTTCTATAAAATCGAGAATGACAGTGCGATGGCCATCAGTCAGCCAGTGTTACCAACTTCCGATAAGTGAAAAAGGAGTGTCACAAAGAGCTTCTTTTCGAAACTACTTTTAGTGTCGAAAAGACTTCGATATGAAACCAAAATAAAAAAAATATAATGTAGGCTTATATGTCGAAAAATTGATAGTGTTTTGATGTTTTGTTTCATGTGTAACTTGAAAAAAAACTTGGCTATTAATCCTACATTTTGTTTTTTTGTTTACCTTGATATCTTTGAAAACAAAAAAGTTACAGGTGATCAAAATGATATCAAAGATAAAAGAACACCCGGTACATGCTATTCTAAGTTTTAATAGTTTAATACTATATATTTTTTCAAGAAGCAGAAACTTTCATAAACAATAACTTTTTTTTGTAAAATTGATAATAAAAAAGTTTCCCATATGTTGCGAACTGAAGCGGAAACACTGTACAGGGTGGCCCGTTTAAGAGGGGCCTATACCTTATCTCGAAATCTACAAGGGTTGCAAAAAAAAATTAAATACAAAAGTTGTTTCTAATAAAATTATCTACATTTTTTTTTCATTGTTTTTGTTGTTACTGTACTATATACAGGGTGGAGAGATAAAATTTAATTTTTTTAAATGGAACACCCTATATCGTAATACACTTTTACATAACCCTTTGAAAGACAAATCCAACGATATACTGGACATGTGTCTGTGATAAACCGTTTCGAACTTATTAGCGATTATCTTCAGGGATTCAGGGTAATTTTGAACAGGCATTGTTACGTTACTCATAAACTTTGGAAACTTTTTTTTTGCGTGATATTTTTTATAAAATGATGCTCTTTTTTAGACTATACTGAAATTTAGCAAAATGTTACGCTTTTCAATTTTTTTTAAATGGGACATCCTGTAAATTTTCGAATTTTTGGATAGCCTTTTAAAATACAAATTCAACGATATACTGGACATGGGTCTGTGATGCACCCATTTTGGCCTGATTGGCGATTATCTTCAGTTCTAGCACAATATTTCATGTCATCCCTGATGAATAAAAAACAATGTCCAATTTTGCATTAGATTAGATGAAATAGTGCTTTTTATTATTATTATTTTTGACAAAAAATTTAAATTTTTGATTCATGAAATTCTCTCATAAAAGCTCTTTTCGGGTTCGAAAAAAGGACGGTTCTAGAACGGTTCAAAACAATCGCACAGTTCATCAATCAACTAAATGACAACGGTTCAGCTATCACAAACTTCAATAATAAACTGTGCGATTGTTTTGAACCGTTCTAGAACCGTCCTTTTTTCAAACCCAAAAATAGCTAAAATACAACTCAAGCAATGGAATTTTTAATCTTGGATTAATTTCCAAGCTGGTGTCAAATGATAGTTCATGGAAAACTCAGATAAGAATGTATGATCGGTTTAGCTCTAAAATCAACCGTTGAGGTTTTAAAGCCTGTCAAAGTTGCAAAAAAGTATATTTTCAACTCTTATTATTTCCGAAACAGTTGAAGATAGGTATAGGATATGATACATTAAATAAGTTCAGAATGTAACGTAGAAATAGGAAATGAAATTAAAAAAAATCCTGTACAGTTCACACCCGGTAGAAGTGAAACTTTCATCGAACTGCATGCATTACACACATACTAACATACACAGTGGCGTCCCCCCCACCAAAAGACTTGAGAAAGAACGCAAATAAATATAGTTTGAAAAAACTAAAATACACGCTGGGGTGCTTTGTTCCACATTTTTCATACATTGAGCACCCCACGCTTTTTTGACAATAATTCTAATATTTTTTGTTCATTAATATTTTCTGTTTCTATTAAAAATTATTTTTCACTTTTTAGTTCAATTTACTATAAAAGCGTATTTTTTAGTTTTTTTAAAATACATTTATTTTTCACTTTTTAGTTCGATGTATTATAATAGCGTGTCAGCCCCAGAGATTTCTAGACTTTTCGAGACATTATCCAGACTTATTCAGAGCTTCCCAGAGTTTTCCAGATTCCATCCAGATTTATCCAGACTTGTACAGACTGATCCGGATTCTGGAAAATGATCCCCAGGTCTTTTGGGACCTTTTCCAGAATTTTTCCGACCCCTTCAAGAAATTTCCAGGCCTTTTCCAGACGTTTCCAGAGATTTCCAGACATTATCCAGACTTATCCAGAGTTTTCCAGACTTCATCCAGATTAATCCAGACTTTATCCAGATTTGTTCAGACTGATCCGGATTCTGGAAAATGATCCCCAGGTCTTTTGGGACCTTTTCCAGAATTTTTCCGACCCCTTCAAGAAATTTCCAGGCCTTTTCCAGACGTTTCCAGAGATTTCCAGACATTATCCAGACTTATCCAGAGTTTTCCAGACTTCATCCAGATTAATCCAGACTTTATCCAGATTTGTTCAGACTGATCCGGATTCTGGAAAATGATCCCCAGGTCTTTTGGGACCTTTTTCAGAATTTTTCCAACCCTTTCCAGAAATTTCCAAGTCTTTTCCAGATGTTTCCAAACTTTTCCAGACAATATTCAGACTTATCCAGAGTTTTACAGACTTAATCCAGATTTATCCAGACCTTAGCCAGACTTGTACAGACTGATCCAAATTCTGGAAAATGATCCCCAGGTCTTTTGGGACCTTTGGCAGAATTTTTCTGACCCTTTCCAGAAATTTTCGGGCTCTTTCCAGACGTTTCCAGAGAATTCCAGACATTATCCAGACTTATCCAGAGCTTTCCAGAGTTTTCCAAACTTCATCCAGATTAATCCAGACTTTATTCAGACTTGTTCAGACTGATACGGATTCTGGTAAATGATCCTCAGGTCTTTTGAGACCTTTTTCAGAATTTTTCCAACCCTTTCCAGAAATTTCCAAGTCTTTTCCAGACGTTTCCAGACTTTTCCAGACAATATCCAGACTTATCCAGAGTTTTACAGACTTAATCCAGATTTATCCAGACCTTATCCAGACTTGTACAGACTGATCCGGATTCTGGAGAATGATCCCCAGGTCTTTTGGGACCTTTGGCAGAATTTTTCCGACCCTTTCCAGAAATTTCCAGGCTCTTTCCAGACGTTTCCAGAGATTTCCAGACTTTTCCAGACTTCATCCAGATTTATCCAGACATTTTCCAGACTTGTTCCAGCTCACTTGGCTTGTTCCAGGTTCTTGTTGTGTGTTAATATAAGCGTGTTAAAAAAGTGTCATGTCGCTTTTTCGTTTCATCGAGTCTCACATCACTCCCAACGATTCTAAAGAAGTTTTCACTTCAAAATTAATGTTTTGATTTAAAAAAATAAAGTTAGCGGTCACAACTTGTTTCTGGGTCACCCTGTATACATGATATTACCATCAGAAAAACGGCAACTGAAATCAAAAATCGATGTGTCCGAGGTTTTCATGAGCAATCTCACCAATGTTTATTATTTTTCTAGGTTTTCTGGAAGTTCTTTATGTAATAAACGAATAAACATCATCTCTCCCATCCTCGTAACTACGCCACCTCACTTTTTTTTTGTGTAAACATTTCAAGTATCTATTTTGCTGTATTTGTATAGGTAAATTTTATTATCTTTGTAATATATTTTTGTGTTTCCGCACATTTCATTCTCCACATTCTTATTTGTTAAATAAAAAGCACAATGTAAATTATAAAACTATTATTATAACTATACTTTTTAATTTAGATTAAATATGATAGGTGTATTAGTTTTGCCTCCACAAAAGCCCATAGGATTTATTATTCACTTTCCATGCAATTTGATCACACCCTTCCGTTATCTCGGAAATATTTGCGGTAACGTCGTCTATCACGGTCCTACTTTGAACTCGGCGACAAAGAATGAATTTCGCGCGCTTGAATTTGTTGTTGGCCTCTTAACATTTTTCTCAATATAAAAACACAAAAATTTTCCTGCGGAAATAAGCTGTTTCCTTGCTGTTTCCATTTTTCGGAGAAATTCATTAGACTTTTTTTAGAATAGTTGAAATCAATTTCAAGGATTATATTCATAGGCGCAACTAGGAGGGTGCTTGGGGGTGCTAAGCACCCCCAAAACAGAAATTAGCACCCATTCGGCATTCCACCATAGCACTACCTGAAACTAATATAAAAAAATTGTGCAACCAAATTATTTATAATTTTTTACAAGCTCTATCGTCTGTTATATAATTTTAGTGTGTTGGATTTTTGTGGCATGCAGACGTTTCAATTATTTATTTTTTGAACTTTGTGTACGTACTTACGTCATCGATGACGTCACAAATTGGAAAAAAGGGTTTATCGTTGATTAATTTATAAAGCACGTTCGGAATTATTGTTTTGTGATAAAAATTTTAACTTAGAATAGAGTTCATATGAGTCATCCGAAAATATCTAAATTAATTAACTGCATATTATACAGGGTGTTCCATCATGTACAAATGGAAAGGGGTGATTCTTTGTTTTTTTTTATGACTGAAATTTCAATGTTTTTTCACTTTTTTCTTTATAGCTCCTGCAATTTTTGAGGGTTTTAGCTCAAATTGATTGCACATTTTAAAAGTTTGCCAGAAACAAAGATAATCCAAATAAAGCCATAGCCTACTAGAACATTTCAAAGAAATTAGTTTTATCTAGCTAATTAGGTACCTACTATAGAATTGTTTTTTATTTTATGTACGAACTACATTGTAAGAGCTTATCACGTAACTCAGTTTAGTCTGTTTGAGTTACGTAATAAGTTGCATTATCATGCTTAGTGATGTAATGAGCTCATTACATCACTCAGTAATGTAATGAGAGCTCATTACGTAACTCATTTTTATTGAAAAACGCCACTTTTCAAAATTCATTTGTCAAAAATTATAAATATAATCTTTTGTGAAAAATTAAAACCATTTCGAATACATGAAAAAAATCTGGGTCCTTGAGTACCTCTTTATTTTGCTACAGACTACCTGGAATATGATAAGTTCAAATAAAACAGCAAGCAGAAGCCAAATAAAATGGAAATCACTTTAATACATTATAATATTCAACTTGAATAATATGCCTGATAACATACATTTAGATTATTAAGATGTTTTCATACTCCCTTATATCCTTTCACAAAAAAGTTGACTCAAGCTAAAAGTGAATTTTACACAAAATGAAATATACAGTCGATAACTTGAAATCCGTCAAAAATAATATTTATATATTTCCCTAAATTATCTACTCCTAAGGGCAGGCATTATAAAAATATTTCGACATAATAATAACTAAAAGTTAAATTCTCGAATGACATTACTTTTCATAGCATTTCCAGAAGGTAACTCAGTTATCTGTTCAAAATAGTTTTATAATACCCGCCCATTCTAAAATTGATTCATGACATAAGTATAAAAAAAAATGAATTCTTGTTGCGGAATGAATAAACAAGCAGCGGAGGGTTTTAAAACCGGCCGCCAAACGGAGGTCTTTGCATTCTGGTGCGAGGTCTTCGTGTCATGGAACGACCAACGTTACCGCCGCTTCCATAGTTTGGGCTTCTATTGCGTTCTGCAAATAAACAAAAATATTTTAAAAAATTACACAAGGATAAGGTAATATTGAAATATTCAATTCAATTCAATAAAGCTTTATTGTCCTAATTCTTAGCACAATCACTGACAAAGCAAAAGGTACAAAGTAAGTCCTAAAAACTATACATAAAAGGCAGGTGATAAAATTTCAAAAAAAGTTCCACACAAGCAAATTATAGTTATTTATGTATCAAGTGTACTAAGTAGATGATTATGCCCTGAGGGCGACAATCTTACAAAGCCGAGGCCCGAGGGTATATATATCTATTAGTACCCGTGGTGCATACAAACTTTTATGTCATACCAGTTGGCTTTGAATAATAAATGTATATACAGGGTGACACAAGGAATAGGGAACAACTTATAACTTTTTTAATATATAAGTTGAAAATTTGAAATTTGGGGAGCTTAAACGAGGGAACTTTTTGGGTTTTTTAAAAGTAAATTGCGGTACCAGTCACTTCCGGTTAAACCGGAAGCTGCCATAACTTTTAATTTTCAAATAGGACACCTGGTATTTTTTAAGTTTTCTGACATCAGCAGATCATTTTACGTATGATAAGACCATTTTTGAAAGATTTATAACAAAACCAAAAAAAAAATTGTAATTAAAAATAAAGATTTTTCAAAAGTTATTGGGTTATTTCTCAGCGGATTTTTAAAATGTTCATATCGAAAAATAGGGAAAAAAATCTAGTTTCAAAAAATTGATTGGTCCCGGCGTGGTTACATTTGAAAAATATGGAATACTTTGAAAAAAACACTTTGTTTAATTTTGATCTGAAATTATGGCGTTCAGTTAGGAAAAAATTGAAGTGACAGATTTTCCTGATATTAAGAATATCCAACTAAATCACTTTACACCAGTGGCAGCGCCGAATTTTTTTTTCTAAAAGTTAATTCAATTTATTTTTTTGTTAAAAATTTTCCAAAAATGGTCCTATCATACTTGAAATGATCCGCTGATGCCAGAAAACTTAAAAAATACCGGGTTTTCTATTTGAAAATCAAAAGTTTGACGGTAACGCAATTTACTTCTAAGAAACTCGAAAAGTTGCCTCGTTTAAGCTCCGCAAATTTCAAATTTTCAACTTGTATATTGAAAAAGTTATAGGCTGTTCCCTATTCCTTGTGTCACCCTGTATATGTACAAGTAGCATATATATATATCCACAAGTAGTATAATATATACAAAGTAGCATTTCGCTCATGGCGTCATGGGAACGTTAAAAAACCCATACCTGGGAAAAAAGTGTCACTTCGCAAATTAGGCTCTCCAAACCACATGATTTTTCAATATGGCGACCATGGAAAATTTGACGTTTGTTTGTTTATCTTGAGTTTATTTGGAATATTTGCAAGCTAATTGCAGTTTACTTTGTTGTAATATACTTTTTGAGATGCAGAGTGAATATTTAAAGACTTGAATGCAGGAAAATCGGGATCTGGGCGAACGGTTAGTTTAAAAAAATATCCAGATGACATTTTGATCCACAGTTCACATTAATGAGCAAGTGAAGGTCTACAAAAGCTTAGATTCTTACGAGTATTTCGAAAATGGCTTTATTTCAGATGCAGGAACAGTGTTAGTGAAAAATTTTTACGTTTTAATTGGAAAATTTTAAAACAAAGGGCAATGAAAAAAGCCTGACATCATCCCATAGAGAAACAGACTAAAAAGAGAGTAGCGAATTAAACGAGAGAGATCGGCACCGCATTCCTTTATGCCTGTAGCGCAACGCAGACGTCGCAAAGTTGTCCCTTTATTTATCGCGTCGTGATTCGACCTACGTGCTCGTTTCTGTCTCATTCTAGTAACATTGAAGCACTACAGAAGAAGAAGAAGGCAACAGAACGGTAGATATTTCCATATTAACTGACGCATGCTGATGTTTACGTAGATAAACATAACTTCTGTTCACTTTTAGGAAAAATATTTAAAAAAAAAAAAATTCTATTTTCCCAATAATTATCAAGTCAACAATTGTAATATAAGAAATGTAAACAAAGGGCTTCCGAGAGCTCTCATATGTGTATCAGGTCAGTGTTGTATTTTTTTATATTGCATAAATAATTACATTATACTTATTACTTGTTTTATTTTTATTATTTTCAGACTGAGGATAATTCAATGTTTTCGTTTCCTATCACATATTTTTTGTATTTGGAGAGGTATTTATTATTAATTTCATTACTATTGTTGATATTATTCGTATTATAAGAGTTATTGTTTTATTTCATTACTACTTGAAGAATTCAGAGTTTGTGTATATTATTTATATTTTAAGAGTTATTATTTATTTCATTATTGCTTGAAAAATGCCGCTAATAATTTTTTCAATAAAACTAGCTTGATAAAGAATTAGGTATTGTTTTTTTTTTCCCTAAAAATTTCCATTAAAACCAAAAAATCTTCAGTACCAATTTAAATTTCCCGCCATGCGTCCCACAAGTTTAGTTCATCCTGTAGCTCACGGAGGCGCTACAGGGATACAGTGGTGCCGATCTTTCTCGTTTAATTCGCTACTCTCTTTTTAGTCTGTTTCTCTATGCATCATCCTTGTTACCTTGTTGAAACTACTTCCACAATCAACTTCAAGACCCGTTTGTGGCATTTTTAATTGGAAGAAACACTAATGAAATCAATAAAATAAAAAAATAAACAGAGTTCATTCACAAAACAACCACAAAATGCACTTTAAAAAGCTTTAAATTACATACTCTCATATATGGGATAATGAACTTCCGCCACAACGCACTTTTTGACAGGTCGTTGGAATGCCTAATTGTCATCAGTGTGCAAACATCATCATTTTTTGACAGTTGTACAAAAAAATAATAAATAAACGTAAAGGACCCCGCACCGGATGCATGGGATTTTGGGTTTCGGTGAAAATCTGTGAAATTTTCAAATTTTGTATAAAATAACGTGCTGAATAAAAGTCCAAATGGCAAAACTTTCGTAACCCCCATAGTTTGCCTTTTATAGGCTCTCCTATTTCAGAACCTTTATAATCTATACAGAACGTTTATTGATTGATTTGTTTATTATTTTGGTGTATTTGTATTTATTTTTTGGGGTTCATGTTTTGATGGCTGATACGGTACAGTGTAAAAATTAATAGGAAGGAGATAAAAGAACCCTGTGGCTCGTCATCTCCGCAGTATTTTTCGACTCCAAACCCTCTCTTCCAAATTAATCCACATCAAAGCTACACAAGAATCACTCAATAGCTGCATAGGTTAAAAGAAGAACATAAGCTTACTGCTTTAACATGATGCTGAAGTGCTGCAATGGTTATTTGAATAAATAATATATTATTATGTGCTTATTTTTGCGAAAATATATTAGAAGGTTGGGCACTAAGCTAATAAGGGTTAAATAATTATGGTACAAACACTAACGGGCTCCTGTGATGATTAATACTGAGATTTTTCATTCAGTGAATTATGTTGATGCCGTGATTGACATATGCCTGAGGCTTTCTGTTAGCAGCATCCAAAACAACGTCTAGCAGGATAGACGACGGGTACTTGACATTGTGATCGTGTCGTGCATATCCCAAATACCACAAAACACTTGCAACGTGGGCACATGTGCCTATAGTCCTTGCACCAGACCTGCACGTGCAATAACATCCCTGAATCGGTTGTTCATCGTCCTGGCCGTCTTGGTTAAAGGCAATCCACAGCTGGTGTTTTGTGGCGTTTCTAAATCGGGAAAATATTCTTAACCTAATCAAACCCGGGTCATTGGCTAAAAGGTCTCATTCTAGTATCTCTGTTTGGTCCCTTTGTAGTTTGTGCTGTACATAGGATGGCGCCAGTTTTAGTTGGTAAGTACCGAATGTTAAATCCCTTAAATAATCAAGAGGCAAGCGTGGAAATCCTGGTAGATGATTTTCGTCCAGTACTGTCCATTGACCGTTCCTTCTCTGTAAGCCGTCCGCCTCCACTCGTGCTTGCAATACATTTGGTTCATGTAAGCGAGCCAACATTCGGTGAGCAATCTCCAAGGGGGGTTCGGGAATTGGGCCATGAAATCTATTGATAATTGCAGCTGCAATTCTATAAAAATCACGAAGGTTAACTGCGTGCGTTACGGAAATAACTCCCGCGAAAAACTTGAAAATTGTCTTAAAGTGTCCATTTCTGGCTTCGATGATCCATCTGGTTTTAGTAACGAGACGGGATGCATTTACTTCTTCGGTTGTTAATTATCACTGATTTCGGGGTAAGGCATAAGGCATCCGATGAGAAATTCCGATATTTTCAAGAAAGGGCACAACATCTCTATACCCCCTGTCCACGATAAAAATATCATCATTATTAAACCAGTTTCTAATCCCATCAACATCATGTTGAAGCTCAGTGCGTAACATTGCTGCGTAGTATCTGAAAAGTACGGTCCAAGTACGCTTAGAATGTAGCCATTTGGTGCTACAATAAGAGATGATGGCCCTTATGGCGACAATATGATTGTTGCAGAACTTGAAAGTTACAACTTTTTTCGATTTTGCTGTAAGTACCGTCAATATATGCAATAGCTCTACGAACTTCAGGTTCAGGGTTATACAGCGCAGTACTGAAGTCGTTGACGTGACGGTCAATATATGTATTTCTTATAATTGCTGCAAATCCCAAGTTGTTTGGTACAAACCGTAGTAACAAGGACTTTCTAACAGATGAAATAGCCAAACTGACGGCCTGTCGGGTACTGTAGTTAAAAATAACTTTTAGAAATTCATCGGAAAGTCCATGTCAAAGCTTGCATAAAAAAGTTATCAAGTGTTTCTTTTTTATATGTCGATCTGATCGGTTATCGTGAGGAATATTATCGCAGAATGTATATAATTCGTCAAATTGCGCTTTTGTTAGTGACGAAATAGACGTAAATTCATCATCTGTAATATTGCTTATATCATCACACCTATGGAAGCGTTGCGTTGTGATAGCGGCACGAAGACCTTCCAGAAA